GTAGGTTGTCCTTTTAGGGAACAGGGATCTCCATCAGCCTTGCCATTGAAAGTGCTTTGCAGGCCAGTATGAGCAGCATCTCCTGACAGCTAGTAGATGGAGACTGTCAGGTCCACCAAACAACTTATGAGTCACAATCTGCATTGTTAATAGACCCTCTCTGTGCACAAGAGAGGGGGAGTGGCTTCCCCATCCCCACATCACAGGGTCTCATTCTGGCTGGGCATCTACCTTAGATGGGCAGCTGCCAAAGTAGCATTTCTAAGGTGTCATCTGGGCATTGAAACCTTTAGAAAGTTCCATATATGATACGATACACAAAGGGATGGCATCCCTGTGACAAGAATTCCTGATGCCGCCCCAGGCTTTTGCTCTGAAGATAAGAGCCAAATGGGGATGAGAGAAGTGGTGGGAAGGCTACTGCTTGCCCCGGATACGTGCACCCCAAGCTTCTGCTTGTCCAAGTGTGAGCAGTGGGATGGCACCAGGTGTTGACCTACAGAGTTAGGCTCTCAGTTCAGCAACCTCGGTACTTGACTTCAGCTAAGAGTCAAGAACTCAAATTATAAGAGAAAGTTTATTTAGTAAGTCATGGAGGTAGAAGTGAGCTGTACAAGAAATGGGCTCAGAAACTAGTTACAGAGGCAAAAGAAGGACTCTTAAAGCTTAGGAGAAAGAGAACAAAGTTAAGCACCTTAAGAAAAGAAATGGGTAGGGAAAGGCACAGGTATGCCCCAGAGAGGATGAAGAGAGACACTGTGTCCTACTTCTTTTTTGGGGGGTGGGGGGGTGGGGGGAAGGGCAAATGTGCGGGAGAGGGAGGCGGGGCTTTCTTTCTATTAGTACCTATAAAATAAAAACAATTTATGAAACTATTACCCTTTTTTAGCCGAAACCAGTTTGGCTCAGTGGATAGAGTGTCAGCCTGCGGACTGAAGGGTCCTGGGTTTGGTTCCCATCAGGGGCATGTGCCTTGGTTGCAGGCACGTCCCCAGTGTGGGGTGTGCAGGAGGCGGCTGATTGACATTTCTCTCTCATCTATGTTTCTGACTTTCTATCCCTCTCCCTTCCTCTCATTAAAAAATCAATAAAATATAGAAAAAATACATATGTATGCAAAAAACACACACCCATAATTGTTACAATACATACCCTTGTATATACCTTGGACATTATAAAAGTATTTTAGAATCACACCCTATGAAAATTGGGAAAAGAAACATTTTTCTCCAATCTTGGTCATATATTGTGACATTCAAGTCCTAAAACTACATTGTTGAAATAAAATTTCTCTAGCTTCCAGGGCCAAAGGGATTTACCTTTCAAGGCCCCATAGGTGCTTTTATTTGTGCAAGGTCAAGAACCGGGAGAAGGTCCCCTGAGCATCAATTTACCTTAGGTAGGTCAAGCAGTGGTTTACTTTCCATATTTTATCATGGAACTAACGACGTGGGGGGTGGGGGGGGGGAGGTCATGGAAACATCTCTTGGGCAGGTCCCCTCCCTAGCATTCCTATTTAGGTAGTATGGCTCCAACAAGAGGATTTTTAAAAAACAAATCTTTATTGTTCAGATTATTACAGGTGTTCCTCTCCCCCTACCTCAAATGCTCCCCTCCACCTGGTTCCTAACCCCATCCCACGCCCTTACCCCTGCCACTGTCTTCATCCATAGGTGTAAGATTTTTGTCCAATCTCTTCCTGCACCCCTCAGACCCCTTTCCCCCTGTGAATTGTTAGTCCAATCCCTTTCTCTGACCTTGATTCTATTATATTCACAAGTTCATTTTGTTCTTCAGATTTTTTTTTATTCTCTTGATTTTTAGATTCACGTGTTGGTAGGTATGTATTTGATGCCTTTTTGTTGTTCATAATTTTTTACCTTTACCTTTTTCTTCTTCTTCCACTTCTTAAAGAATACCCTTCAACATTTCATGTAATCCTGGTTTGGAGTTGATGAACTCCTTGAGCTTATTCTTGTCTGTGAAGCTCTTTATCTGACCTTCAATTCTGAATGATAGCTTTTCTGGGTAGAGTAATTTTGGTTGTAGGTTCTTATTGTTCATCATTTTGAATATTTCTTGCCACTTCCTTCTGGCCTGCCTAGTTTCTGTTGAGAAATCAGCTGACAGTTGTATGGGTACGCCCTTGTAGGTAACTAGTTGTTTTTCTCTTGCTGCTTGTAAGATTTTTTCTGTCTTTTGCCCTTGGCATTTTAATTATGATGTGTCTTGGTGTGGTCCTCTTTGGATTCCTCTTGTTTGGGGTTCTGTATGCTTCCTGAACTTGTAGGTCTATTTCTTTCACCAGGTAGGGAAAGTTTTCTGTCATTATTTCTTCCATTAAGCCTTCATTATCCTGCTCACTCTCTTCTTCTGGCACCCCAAAATTCCGGATGTTGGTATGCTTTAAGCCGTTCCGGAGGCTCCTTACACTATCCTCACACTTTTGGATTCTTCTTTCTTTTTGCCTCTCTGGTTGGGTGATTTTTGCTTTCTTATATTCCAGATCTTTTGTTTGGTTCTTAGGGCATGTTGATCTATAGTTAACTTTCTGTATATTCTTTATTTCAGACTTTGTATGCTTAATTTCTGCCTGGTCCTTTTCCTTTTTTTTTTTTTTTTTTTTTTTTTGGTATTCTTATTAAGGTCCTTGAAGGTCTCTCAAAGCTTCTTGGAGGTCTCATCAAGTTTCTCAAAGGTTTTTAGAAGATTCTTGAGTAATCTTATAAATGTGATACTGAACTGTGTGTTGTCCAGTAGTTTACTCTCCTCCATCTCTCCCATTCATGTCATGCTTCTGTGTCTTCTCATTTTGTCTGCCTCCCTGTATTGATGAAGTGGCTTTGTGTGGTCAGTGACCTATAGAGGCCAGTAGCTCAGCTTCCCCAATCACCTCAGGTGGTTGCTTTTGCTATATGCCTTTGTGGGCTTAGTGCAAAGTTTTGGTATAATTAAGCTTTGATTGCTGTTGGTACACTGGGAGCAATTGAACGCCAGACCAATGGTCTGTGAGGAACTGCTGTGTCTATAAAGGAAGAACTGCTGTGCTTGAGACATGCCTTGTTTCAGTGGGACTTTGGTGCTCACCAACACCATCTCCCAAATGTGTCACTTATGGGTGTGAGGGATTGAAACTGAGCACTAGAACTCTGGTTTCTGGGTCTCAATGAGGTGCAGTTCAGCTACTGTCTGAGGCCAGTACTGTTGCAGGAGCTACAGCATGAACCACAGTCCTGTCCTCCGTGAATCTGTTTGCCCCAGGTTGCAATTTTGCTAAACTGCAACAGAGAGGGCCATTCATATGCAAAAGCTGCTGCTTGGAGCTTGTGTATTTGTAGGTTTTGCGGGGCAGAGTCTCAGGGCAGAGCCTCAGGGCTTCACTAGACTGGGGCATGGCCAATAATGATGGCTGTCCGTCCGCGCCTCTCTGATGGTGTCCTGGTGTCCCCATGTCCCCGTGTCTCCCCGTGTTTCGCACCACAGTACAACAAACAATCTCAGCTCTGCAAGCAAGCCAGATTCACTTTCCGACCTGATAGCAGACAGTCTAGCCTCTCCCCAGAAACTGGATTTCAGAGAGATCAGGAGCTTGTCTCTCTTTGGGTTGAAGAAAGCACAGCCCTCCGCCAGCCGGGATCCACGGCCAGCCCATATCACGTTCACAACCCCCTACCTCAGTTTTTCAGCACTTGTGCCCTGGATTCTCTTCTTTCTCTTTCAGTCTAGATTTAGGATTTCCTCTCAGCCAGCTTTCCCTTGGTTTGGGGGAGATAGACGTTATTTTATAGTTTTTTTTAATTGTTGTGCAAGGCAGCCATTTAGGAGTGTTTACCCATGCTGCCATCTTCATTCTCTATACAAGAGGATTTTTAACCCTTGAGCTCTAAAATGCTGATTCCATACTAGTAATTATCTAAGATACTTACAAAATGATCCTATATTGTGAATTAGGATAAAGTTATGAAAGTGTGACTCCCTAAATAAGCTTCATTTAGGATTTGTCAGGTGGAGAGCATTTGGAACAATTGGTACACCATAAATTCCCTCTTGGAGCTATTAGAGAAGATACTTTCTTACTAAGGCATAAACCTCAGAAGCCAAGTTCCTTCTTACTTTGGAAGAAGGTCCTAATTCTTGAGGGTAGTTATCTGGAGATCTCAGGGGAGGATCCCAATAAAATATTTATCAGCTTTCCAGGTATGTCCTTTCAGGGTCGAAGGTCAATGCAGTAGATCCTGATATCAGCAATGTTTACACTCATCTGGTTTTGCTGCTTTTCTGGGCCTGGAGCTGAAACACAACTGAAGCCTAGATGTATTTGATGTCAGTCGGATCCTCATTGTTCTCGAGGCTTAATGCTAAAGGGCTATTCTTAGGTCTTCTGGTTTCTTCCCCCTCTAAGGGTATCTAACCCACATGACTAAGAATATGCCAGGGGAGGAAAGGTCAGGGAGGGCCTGAACCACATGACCAGTGATATGAAAGGTCAGAGGGTCTAAACTGCAAAACCAGGATATGCTTTGGTAGGAAAGGTTACCCAGGGGGCAAGGTCCCATTCCAGTTTTGCACAATGCTAAAAACCTGGACTTTCCATTCTGGAGACCTTCCCTAAGGCCTATTGTCCTATTCTGCTCAGGCCTAACTGCCTACAACAAAAGCAAGATGTGTGTGTGTGTGTGTGTGTGTGTGTGTGTGTGTGTGTGTGTGTGTACATGGGGAGGAGTCACTGCGGAAGAAGGTAGAAGCCTCAGCAGTATCAGAGAATGAAAATGAAAAGGAAAGAAAAGGGGAGGCAGGAATAACAGAAGGGTAGGGAGGAACCTGGGTACAGACTCCACCCCTGGCCCATGTGACTAGGGAAGTGATCTTGGCCCAGGAGGAAACTCAGGGCACAGGGAGGAGGAACAGCACATCCCACCACCAGGACAGAGGTTCTTGTGAGTATTTCTGGAATCCAAGCTCTTCCCACAGAGGGAAGGACAGAGCAGGCAGCAGATACCATGGATTTCCCCTCAGTCCCTGCCCACAGAAGACTTGTCCCCAGGCAGGGGCTCCTGCTAGCTGGTAAGAGGGGACAACTACCTGGCGGTGGAAGGGAGGAGGACAGGCACAGGCTAGCTGAGGACTCCTGGGGAGCACAGGGCTCTCAGAGAAAACAATGGGAGTGAGCATGCTTCTGTTTGGACTTGAGGGGAGAAGACAGGGGAACAGAGTAGGGTCGGGGAGGGGACTCAGCAACAGGAAAATGATGTGGAAATGATGAGGGACAGGAAAACCTCAATGGCTGCTCATTTCCCAAGTTACTCATCACTGAGAGTTGAATGCTAAAAACTTTTTTATATATATCTCCTCTCCAAAACTTTTATATATATATATATATATCTCCTCTCCATTCCTTTCTGAAATTAATACAAATATATATATATTTATATAAATATATTTATATACTTATATAAATATATATAAATATATTTATATATTTATATATATATTTGTATTAATTTCAGAAAGGAATGGAGAGGAGAGAAAGAGAGAAGCACCAATATTGAGAGAGAATCACTGATTGGCTACCTCCTGCACGCGCTCCACTGGGGATTGAGCCCACAACCTCAGCATGTGACCCTGACTGGAATCAAACCCCAAACCCTTCAGTCCACAAGACAACGCTGTATCCACTGAGCCAAACTGGCTAGGGCTGAAAACTTTTGATAATAACAATTTATGTGAGGATATAGAAAATTCAACCAAGAGCAATAAAAATTGTCCTTACCACCAAGCTCAGAAATGGGAAGATACATTCCAGGAGGTGCAGGACCCTGCAACTCTCACTCATTCACCCACAAATATTTGCAGCCTGTTGTAGGCACTGGGTGTGCAACAAATAAGACAAGAAGCCCCCATGAAGCTCATGTTCTATGGGAGGAGGCAGACAAGGAAAGATTTAGATGTGATGTCAGGTTCCCCTAGTGCCATGCAGGGTACAGCCCAGGGACAGGTCAGAAAGTGAAGACAAAGGTCTTTAGAGGAGGTGATCAGGGAAGGGGTCTCCTAAGGACACCCCTGAGTGTCAGCAAGGGTCTGAGGGCAGACACCTGGGTAACAGTATTCAAAACAGAGGAAATAACAGGTTCAGAGGTGCTGAAGTTATGATTGCCATGCTGCTGAGCTTGACCACAGGAGACACACACACACACACACACACACACACACACACACACACTCCAAGATGAAAAGACCTGCTCAGGACTCATGGACTCATCTCTCCATTTCAATACATAGCTCCAAATATTGATCAATTTCTCTCTTCCCTCCTAGCCTCACTCCTAACCCTCTGGAGCCTGCCCACCACTGCCCAGCTCACTATTGAATCAGTGCCGCCCAATGCTGCCGAAGGGAAGGATGTGCTTCTCCGTGTCCACAACCTGCCTGGGAATCTTAAGGGTTATGCTTGGTACAAAGGGGAAAAAGGAGAAAGCAACCATAAAATTGTATCATATTTAATAGACACTCAAAAACCTACCTACTGGCCTGCATACAGTGATCGAGAAACAATATACCACAATGGATCCCTGCTGTTCCAGAACGTCACCCTGAATGACACAGGAAAGTATATGCTACAAGCCGTACACAAAGATTTTAAGATCACAGAAGTAACTGGACAGCTCTGTATATACCGTGAGTGATTGCCCTCAGATGTCTGGGTGTTGGGTGGGTGAATTCTACTTCACACACAGTACTGACAGCCCTGGACTGTCTCGATCCACCTCTGCATCATGTTCTAGGTTGGCTTTGGGCATTTAGTGCAGGACTCACACAGTGGAGACAAACTTCCCAAGATTAGATTTGCCTTCCCAGATTCCAGCTCCGCAGATATTCTCCACAGAGAATAGCTTGATGGGAATCACTCAGAAGAAGGAGACTCATCAGAGACTTAGTCCAGCCCCTGGCCCTTTCCCCATGACCATGACACTGAGAATACCCTGCAGAGCTTGCTCACACCCTGGCCTGAGGGGACCCTGGAATCCTCACAGAGAAGCTCAGCCTGGGAACCCCTCCCAGACCTTGTCCCAGGGCTCCTGACTCCAGGGAACCTGGGGAGCCTGGGTCAGGTTGGGTTTGACCTCCTGCAGGGCTGGGTGGAAGCAGTGGCTCTACTCCTGCTCACCAGCCAGGGCTCAGCCCCAAGAGCCACAACAGGACAGGGACAGAGCCTAGTCCTTCAGATAAGCCGGTGTCAGGAGAGCACAGATAGACAAAATACCCAGTACCATTAGCTGACTCTTCTGAGGAATTTAGGACACTCCTGAGGGAGGTCAGGTCTCCAAAAAGAAACAGAGGAAAAAAGATGCTCCTGTCAGCTCCTTATCCACCAGGGGTCAGCCAGGAATTTTCTCTCATGGAGGCAAATAATGGCAGTGGCCATTTAAGTCAGTGTCTCCTCTGTACTGGGCTTCAGGTCAAGTACTCATAGATTTTTTAAGGTCAATCCAGACAACATGGTAATCCAGAGTCCACTTGGCATTTCTTCTGTTTTTATTCAGGGTAAATGGAGGCACAGTGTGATACAGCCATTGCATCAGGCTCACACAGAAACAGCAAGGTGCTTGCACAGCCACAGCCCACCCTCTCCTCCACCATGAGGGTCTTAGGTGCCTGTGGAACCTGAGAAAAGCCATTAGTTCAGTGTTTTTTCTTACCACTCCCCAGCTCAAGGTAGATTTTCTGGTCTGGCAATTAAGAAAGTGGAGAATTAATTTTCACTTTAGAATCAAATTACCTACGATAACACTCAGTCAGTGCTAAGAATGTCCCGGGCATTCCCCTCAGGTAGCCGATCCACCCCTCCCTGCACTGGACTTAAAACCACTTATTTGTTTCCTGATGTGTTGGCGTCACTCCCACTAGCTATGAAGGGAAGGACTTTGCCTTCTCATTCTCCATCCTATACCTGCTACCAGCTCAGGGACCAGCACTCACTTGCTTTTTCATGAAGGAGGAAAGGAATTATGGTGACTGATGACAAAATGAATGAATGATACATAATTGCCTCAGAGATTGGAACATGGGTGCAAAGTCCTAAAAGGTTTTACCCACACCTGTTCCCTGTCCCCACAGGTGCTGAGAGCCATGTCCTCTGACCACATGTCCTTATAGCCCTCTAGGGAGCCAAGTCCTTTGGTGACTGTGGAGCTGTTCCACCATGAGAAGGTTTTCCAGGCTGCATTGCTCCTGCCCTGGGGCAGCTGTGGGCTCTTTGAAGTCACCTTTGATCCCCACTGCTCACCAAAGACATTCTGCCTCTGTCTGCTCCTTCCATGTCCCTTATGTGCCTCCTTCTTCATGCCAGACACATTGTCTAGCTCTGCTCTGCTTCCTCCACCAGGCAGTCTCCCCAGATTGTCCTGCTAACACTTGTGTCCAGGCCCTACCTTCCGGGCAATAGAAGAGAACACAGAAAACAGTGGAGCAGCAGCCCTAACTCCCTCATCAGCCAGTTTCCCAGTTCACCAAGAGAAAGAACTTCTACTGGGCCCCATCAAGGCTCCTATTCCCCATGAGGCCAAGAGGAACAGGCCACATGACAGGGACATGTAAAATATTGACCTACTCTCTACATGACTCAACCAGGAAGTCAAAGGCAGAAGGACAGGTCTGATCCCCCAAAGCTCACAGGTTCACTCCACCTCTGACTGGTGATTCACACCCTTGTCCTGGTGTGAGGCTCCCATTTTTTCCACTGGCTCCCAAGACCTTCCCAAGGTGAGCCTGGTGACCCTGCACCATCTGATTGGTTCACTGATTATTTCACACACATGTGTCATGAAGACACCTTGACCACAGGATGGGACCCTCTCAGACTGTGAGATCCACCAGCCACTCGCCTTTCTCTTAGACGCTGCCCATTTGAATGAATATGACTACTAGTCAACTCCAGTTTTTTTCCTGAGTTAGAAAGACAAGGAAGAGCATATGCCACATGCTCATGTGGGGGATCCTCCCCCTCTGCCTGACTGTCCATAGAAGCAGGGGAAGGGGGGGAACCTTCTTCCAAATTTTACTAACTTGGCACATGTCTTTTCCACCAATTTGGTGTCATGCCTCCCTGTATAAAGCAGAGACACCTGGACTCACGCCCGACCTCATCCCAAACCCTTCCCTGCCCCCACCCCCATCACTTCTGTTCTCTTAGCAGGACTCACCTTCTCTCTGGGAGTCCCTGATTTCAAACAAACTGTGGCATCTTTTTTTTTTTTTTTTATCACAGTGTGACCTAGATTGGATGGCAGAATTTGGTCTATGACCTTCGTGTTCTTATACAGAAATTCCACGAAAAATTGGCATTAGAACTTTGGGGCATGAGTGATTTTCATACATTCTTTCACAGTTTAATTCAAAATCTATTTCATAACTGACTAACAGAAATGGTCCATGAGGGCCAGCAAGTTCATGCTCCCTGATCTTCCACAAGTCCCCCTTCTGTAGGTGCTATCGTCTGAGTGTTGAGGAAGGATTCCTGTCCTCTGCAGTGGCAGAAAGGACATTACAGACCAAGGCCAGAGAGCATGACTTTGCTACCACCGCCAGCCAGCTCCCCTATCCCTCACTCTTTACTAAATCATGGCCCTGAAGCCTGTGAAATAAATTGTCTGCCAGACTTGCTTCTGGTCTCCCATGTACTATTTCTGCTCAGACACTCAGTTCAGGGCCACACTGCCCAGTCCTCTAGGGTTTAAGGACTAGAGGGTGGCCAATCATTGCTCATCTCTAGGTTAACCCTAAAATGTGAGGCTTCAGTGGAAACACATCTCAACCTGGCAATGTAGGTCTGTGTAGCTGGAAGGGATTCAGCACCAGCACATTCCGGGTGAAACCCCAAGGTCAGCCAACCAGTCAGCTGGTCAGTGAGGAACCAGGACAGGTGCCGGGTGGCCTCTGACTCCCAGTCCTGTGTTTCTCTGTGATCAAACCCTGAGAGATGTCTGATACCTGAGAAAGTCTGTGGTTTCTCTCCCAGACATAGAACAGGCAGCTTTACATTCTCAGAGCACTCAGCACCTCATACATTTGTTTCTCTTGTAATGACAGACCTGCCTTATTTCTTTAAGATCTCTAGTTAGCTGAGAGGCACCAATTCTGATTGAAGAAGCATTTGGAGGTCTCAATGGGCAATGTTCTCTCTGTTGTCTGCACAGCGATGTTACCCAAACCTAACATCACAAGCAACAACTCCAATCCGGAGGAGCACAAGGACCCTGTCATGTTAACATGTGAATCTCAGACTGAGAACACCACCTACCTGTGGTTGATCAACAGTCAGAGTCTCCAGGACAGTGCCAGGCTGCAGCTGTCCAAGGACAACAGGACTCTCACTTTACTCCTTGTCACAAGGAATGACATGGGACCCTATGAGTGTGAAATCCAGAACCCCGGGAGTGCCAGCCGCAGTGACCCATTCACCCTGAATGTTCTTTGTGAGTAACTTCTATCCCTGCCTGAGCCAAGCTGCCCACCCAGATCCACACTGCCAGAGGCCAGGCCACATCCCCAGGTCAATGTACACAGACCCCCATTCTGAACATCCAGGGTGACCATCTCTTCCTGGACCAAGCACATCTGGGCAAACTCGGCCTTGAGGAAAGATTGGGAGGGAATGGAATACTCCTGTCTGGAGAGGCTCAGGGTTAATAAGATTTCATGGGACAAACAGGTTAATGTCTCAGACTCAGGCTCAGTGAACACAGGGGCTATGGTTGGGACTTTTTAAAACCAACCTGTGACCCAGCTCAGAAGGAGAGTGTGGCACTTACACAGACCAGGATCTTGCTCTTCCCTCTGATTACATCATGTGTGGCTGTGTTCTTTCTGCTCCAGATGGCCCGGACAACCCCACCATTTCCCCCTCCGACTCCCTTTACCTACATGGGACAAATCTCAGCCTCTCCTGCCAGGCAGCCTGTAACCCGCCTGCACGGTATTCTTGGATTATCAATGGGAGTTCCCAGCAACCCACACAGGAGCTCTTTATCTCCAACATCACTTTGAATAATAGTGGATCCTATACCTGCCTTGCCTGTAACTCTGTCACTGGGCTTACAAGGGCCATGGTCAAGAGTATCACAGTCTATGGTAAGTGCCTCTTGGACCATGAGCACTAGGCTCTGGGGTTCAAATCTGTCTGGTTTTCACAAAAGAACCTGGAGGGTTTGTCTCCCTTCCTGTGGCCATGGACACAAGCAAATCAGTCTTCCCCTGAGCCCTCCCACTATATCTCTGTAGACTCTCCTCCCTTACTCTTCTGATCTCTCATGGCAGAGCTGGAGTCCAGCCATGGAAAGTGAGGAGGTAGTTCTATCAGCCCAAAAGAGACAAGAGGTAGAGGGAGGAGGCTTCCCAGAGGGGAGAACAAAGGTTCTCAATGTCAAGTTGCTTCTTCTGTCACTAACACTTTCCTTCTGTCACCTTCTGTCTGTTACCTGTTCCATGTGCTACAAAGAACATACAAGGCTTTGACTCTTTTCCCCAAACTAAGGGAGGAAACCACCACTGAGGTGGGTGAGCAGGTCAGACCCCCCTGCTCCCTGAGCTACTCCAGGCTCACCTGGTGACTGGCTGCTCTGTGCCCTCTGAGGTCAGACAGGGGTCTGTGGTGATGGGGCATGGGAGGCCTATTCTCTGCCTGCTCAAATCATGTCACCAATCAACATCATGGCCTCCCTCAAACCAGAGAGTGAGCCACAGGGTAGACCCTTCTGAGCTGTGTCCTGACTCTGAAGTAACCTGCTGTACAACACTGCGACACCAGTGTATGTGACATTCCTACCGAGAGCAGTGAATGGTGGTGCTAACTTGGCAAGTAGGTAGATTCATGGGACAGAAGGAGCACTGCCACAAAGTGTGTAGTTTACAGAGAAAGCTAAGACTACCAACTATTGTTGAAACTGATTACTTCTCTCTAGGAACTTTCTTCTCCCTGATATTCAATCCATTGGCCAGGAAGTGAATGTCCTATTCAGACAGAAAAATTCTTTAGAATGAAACTTCTCTAGGCTCTAAGGTCATAGCTGGACCATTCTCATTCTCTAATAAATTATTTAACAAAAGGAAAATGCCTTCCCATCTCTATGTGTAGCTACCATACCAGAAAGGGGGTGTGATTATTTAGTAAGTCACAGAAAGGTCTAGAAAAGAGTCAGACAGAAGTCAATTGGTGGAAAATGCCACCTGAGGATGAAGATGCTGGACACACGATATAAGGCTAATACCTCCGCTGTCCAGGGAAACAGGTCAGAGGTCACCCTGAGTTGATCTAGTCTGTCACCTAAACAAATATCATCACCCTGCAAAGGTCAGAGTCATCCTCTGGTGACCTTTACAGAGATCACTGTGGCCTGTGAGTGGCTGACATCTCTGAGGAAGGAGCCCACTCTCACTCAGTCACCTCCTCTGTTCTCCACAGAACCAGTGAGGAAGCCCGCCCTCCTAGCGAGCAATGCCATAGTCACAGAGCATAAGGACGCCGTCCTGACCTGCCTCACAAATGACGTGGGGATCTCTATCCGGTGGCTCTTCAAGAACCAGAGTCTCCTGCTCATGGACAGGATGAAGCTGTCCTGGGACAACAGCACACTCACCATCGACCCCATCAGGAGGGAGGATGCTGGGGGTTATCAGTGTGAGGTCTTCAACCCCGTCAGTTCCAGCAAAAGTGACCCCTTCAGGCTGGATGTGCAATGTGAGTGACCCTCGACCTCTCCCACTTGCTTTTGTATATTTCATGGGTAGGGGGATGAGATGGATGAAAACCTTGAGGAGGTGGGAGCCTCCTTCAGAGCCTAAAGAGCACATGGGTAAGGACCCCAGGATTAGAGTAATCTCATCATTGCCTCGGTTTTATGAGTACAGGAAGACTGACCACAGGGAAGGCTCTCACCCACCTGAGCCTCAGTTTCTGCATCTCTAGCCTGGAATAAAACAGCTGGACCTAAACACTGTTGTTAGGATATTTATTGTGAGGTTAATAAGTTACAGCCCTCAGCCAGGGCCATGCTCATTCAGTGTATCAATTATTGTTGGTATTTTTATGAACGCTGTTGTCAGTAGCTGTAAAGTCAAGCAGATCTCAGTGAAAATGTCGTTTATCACTTACCAGTTCTGTGACCGCCAGCCATTTATTAAGCACTTCCCATCCTTGATTCTGTTTGTGCTCATGGGAGTGACACCACCCATCTCTTGTGGGGGTGGTAGGACCAGATGACATGAAGGTAAAGTAATTCCCACCCTGCCTGGACCATCAAAAATATTCAGCACATTCTTATTACTCATCAGCACTGAGTTGGCAGGTAAGGTGCATAATAAGACTGTCCATGGTGATGGAAAAGAAGAAACAGGGATAAGAGACAGAATATGTGAGGGAAAGAAGAGTTAAGAGGAAAATTATCAGGACATGGGAATAGTGGGTGTGAGAGTACATGCAAAGGTAGAGCAAATGGAATGTTTCAAATGCACAAAACAGAGAATGATACAACAGCAGAAGTGGGGTGTCAGGAGGACTGATACTCCAAAACCGCACAGACTAAGTGGCAGTTCCTTCCTCCCTCACCAGGCCTCCCCCTGCAAGGACCATCATGGTTTCCCCTGAATGGACTTGGACCTTCACCCATATCCTTTTCCCTTCTCCTTTCAGCAGAACAAACCTACACGGACTACTCTGTGGGGACCATCGTTGGCAGTGTGATCGGGGTCCTCGTCGTGGTGGCTCTGGGGGCCTCCCTGGGCTATTTCCTGTACCTCAGGAGGACTATGAGGTACCTTCACCCACACCCTAATCCTATCCCCTGACCCAGGCTGACCCCCAAGAGCCCAAACCAGAAGGACAAAGAACCCATTCTCAGAGGGTTCTGGACCTGCTCTCTGTAGCCTCCCAGCTTCCCCACGGATGTCCTTAACTCTCCATCCAGCTCCTCCCTCAACAGCTGCTGACCAGGTGGTTTTTTCAATACCTTCCTCACCTATAAATGAGGCATGATTAACGAACTGTGCCCTCAGGACTGTCCTGGTTATCTCCACACACCTGAAGCAGTGCAGGCAGGTATTAAGTGCTCAGTAAGGCACCTTCTGTTGTTTATCTAAGTCCACCCTCCCAGGTGAGGGGATGGGTTGCCTCAGGGTCTGAAAGTCATCCTGGCCAAGGCCACACAGCTGAGGATGGAAGAGCCTGGATAGGCAGGGTTGGGTCAAATGCCCCCACAAGGAGAGTTTGGTAACCATGACCCTGATGTGTGACACTGCACTACAGCAGAGCCTGTGGTATGGTTTTTGCCTCTATGTCAGATGGATGGAGGCAGGACAAGCCACTGTTACAGTGGAGCTCTGTAGGCTTGAGGGGTGGGTCTGGCCACAGCAGGGCACCACGCTCATCCAGATTCTACATGAGGCTGGCACTGCTGTCCCCTTGACCTTTCCATTAAGTCAGACTCTCTGGATGGATTCCTGTCCTGGTTCCTCAGTCTCCTCCCTGTTAATCCTCCCAGACCCCCATCTATCTTTGGATCCTTCCCCTCTGGGCCCAGCCATGGATCATTAAGGCCTTGCCTCAGTTCCACTCTCCTGCGTCCATCTGCCCTAAATAGTGGAGAGAGTCCTCCACCCTCTGCTGGGAAAGGAGACCCTCCCTGCACCCTGTTGTGACACCAAAGCTCCCTGCACCCCTCACAAGTAAGTCTGTCCTTTCCCAGGGCCAGTGACCAGTGTGGCCTCCAAGAGCACCCACCTCCAGCAGCCACCCCAGGTGAGTGTCTGTTCAGCCTGGAGCCCCTGGGCCTGCCCCACAGTGACCACCCCTGCCTTTGTCCCTCAGGATCTGGCCCGTCCCTAGGCTTCAAGGGGGATTCTCATCACCACTCTGTACAGGGATCCCTACTCACCAGTCAACCTGACCTGTAGGCTGTGTCATGTGTCACCACCTCTCCCTCACTGGACCCTGAAATGGCAAGAGGCTCTTGCCCTGGGAGATGACCTTTCACCCTGGCTCTTTGGAGCTTAAGAACCACCCCCTCCTGGGAGAACAAGTCAAAGCTTCCTCCCCCTCGGTGCTAACACCTCCTGTCTCTGCTCCCAGGCCAGGGTCCCACTGGAACCTCTGCCTTCCGGGTAAGTCCATCCTCTCCCTGTTCCCTCACCCAGGGCCTCAGTGACCCACGCTCAGGGCAGGGGCACCATCCAAGCTCCCAACACAGCATAGACCTCTTCCCCAGAACAGCCAGCAGGGGAGCCATGCCCTGGCCTGTTGAGACCCTCAGTGAGGAGTGGACAGGGCAGGGCCGGAGTCTGAAGGAAACACTGGGGTCCAGCACAGAGCAGAATGGGCACTGGGAGCATCAGTCAGATGTCCAGACTAACAAGGTTGAAGGGGTGTAGTGTGGGCTGAGATTGGGGTTCTGGGCTATAGGTGTGAAAACAGCTGCTCAAAAGG